TGTTGGGAGCCGAGTTGGGAGTCTTGCATTTGACCGAGTTTCGGAAGATTCCGAATGATTGGGGATCGTCGAATATCAGAACAAGGCCCTCGCGGGTTTATTTAATAAGCTTTACATAGCAATAAGAATAAGGATATAGAGGTACTTACAAAAGAGGTAGCATGGAGGAGGCTGGAGGTGGGTGGGCCACGCAAATCGGGAAAACTGCGTCCAGGACGGGGTTACAATCAAGACTGTTCTTCTGCCTCTAAGGGCATCCGGAAAAACCTTACTACCTCTCCCCTTCGTCAGTGACCGGGGCTTACTTCCGAATAAGGGCATCCCTTCCACCGCGTCACTGGTTAGGAGGAGGTCGCACGAAAATTTACTGCTGCTCGCGAAGAAGCATGACCAATCCACCTCGCAGATAAAACATGGCATGGGAGGAGGGCCAACATACAATTTCTCCACAATGGCGCTGGAAGCAAAATCATCGCCTCGTAATCTGTCACAAATACGAAGGGGAATTTTTGCGTGTTTTTAGATTGGCATTTGTGCGACAAAAGTGCAAATTCTGAATTGACACTTGCTGAATCGAGATCGGCACGGAAAGGGTTGACGGACAAATGCGGTGGGAAAAAGTAGAATTTAAAGCCAAAGTGTCCGGGAACCGAAATCCATGGCGTAATCCTTTATTTTATATTATGTTATAGCATTTTATATATTATTTTATATCAAATCTTATTATGCACGATATGATCGTGTTATCATGAAATCTCACGTACGTACCTGGCCTCCCGGCATCCTCCGCGAACCGGTCGGGAGGCAGAGGATGAAACCGGAAGAGCTGGAAATCTTAATTGCAGATTCGGTGAGTAAACTCGTCTTGAAGGGGATTCCATCCTCCTCTGTTGCAGGTTGTGTTGCCACGATTTCCCGAGGAAGTGCTGCGCTTTTTTTCCTCGTCAAAAGTGGAAACGGAAACTTAAAAATGCGAATAGGAAGCTAAATTCGCCGGAAAGTCAAAAGCGACTCGAGGAAGGTGGAAGGAGACAGTCTTGCTGGAATCCATGCCGTTATATTTATATATTTATTCCTTTATTTTTCCTTCTCAGATATTCTCTAAGTCACCGAGCAGGCAGCTGGTTGCATTTTATTTGATTTTATTTTTCCAGATTTTACTTGAAAAACCGATACGATCGCACGCATTGAAATCACCTCAGCGTTTCATTTTAGCGTTTTAGCCCGAGTATTCCTTAAATATGCTCTCTGAAGCAACTTAGCGGCGTCTTTGAAGCATCTTAACTGCACGTGGTCCGTGAGTCACGCTTTCTGGGCACTTGCGCTACGGTATCATCACAGATCGTGTAGTGAAGCCAGTGGCCACGTGAATTTCTTTGGGCCTATATTCCATCGGATAACAAAACAGGCCCTCGTTCCTTCGCCTAACGTTAAGGTAGACGCATCCCTACGTACGAGTTCAGTAGCTGCTGCGACGTGACACCGGCTGTTGTCCTGCATCATGGGTGATGAAGGGATTGAGGTGAGCGAGAGAGAATGTTATCGCATAATATTTCTTGCTGTGATTTGAAAATGCATTCTGAACACCAACCTACCGGCATGAGCTTCATAGGCCTAATATCGCAGTTTTCATGGAAGGTATGCCTTCACCTTGCATGCACCATATACGAACATGCATCATATTAAAGATTCTACAAATTCATTTGCACATCGGATGCAAACCAACGATATGCACAATTTGAACCTAGATGGGTGAGTTGAGTCTTGGCCTAACGTTAGTGCTCTATCTAGGTCAAATTTAGCCTTTTTGGAAGGCCTTTGGCCTCTTATGATAGACCTTTTCATTGCCGATTACACAGCATTGTCAGTTAACTGTTCACACTTTAGAGAACCATCAAGGTGACTGGCATCACACTAAATGACCATGTCACACTGATGACTATCAGAACACTTAAAATTTTAGGGGATACTTGGGTGATTCCCTGCATTTATCATGCTGGCAGTCACAGTGGACCAAGTGAGGAAGGAAGAAGACTGTCAGTTTGGTCATTGAAAAAGAGGATCCCTTTGCCTGCCATGATTGGCCTGATTGACTGTCATGTCAATCAATTATTCAGAGCAGATTAATTTTGAAAAAGTGTGCTTTTTTGATATGGGACCTAAAAAGCAACCTGCCAAATGAGAAAAGAGCTATGATTGTGCTACTTTGCACCATTAAGTTATTTCTGACAGTTTTGACCCATTTCTGTGTAGTCTAACTGGTATTGTCTGTCAAGAGGATTGTGCATTAAAGGAATTAGCTAAGAATATATCAATCAGTTGAAAATACCTTGTGCTTTCCCTTTTTTGTTCATCTAGTGGCCTCATTTTCACCTTATATAATGCTTATTTCCTAACCCATACATTTCAAAGAAGTCCAAATTGCTTGCATATCGATGAAAATAGGTCTTAATTACTGACTAGTCAAGAGCAAGTAGGAGATCAAGCTACTATGCCTAGGCTGACACTAAGCCTAGCTTCAGAACCAGTAACTCTAAACCTAGCTCTTATGGGTGGGTGGCTGTTTGCAGACCAAGTGACTCCTGTTGGGTGCAGTCTGTTCCTTTTATTATATTGTTTTAACCACAGGTTCAGCCCTCATGAGGTGAATCACATAGTGCTTGGAAAACTGGCTGATTTTCTCTGACAATGACCAGCATCTGAACATTGCCCTTCACAAACCCATAGCCCTTTGCGATCCAACCTCATCCCCAAGATGAAAAAACTATTATCAAGAAAGAAACAAGTTTGGATGTTTTTGACTCTTTTGTGCTTAGCTTAAAGTGGCGATAATATAGCATTCTTTTTCATTATAAATAATAAAACCTCATTCAAACCTATTTCAATAAAAAAGTGTAAAAAATTGGACTTTTCAGCCTGCAAAACTTAAAAATAATAGGACTGCAAAGGGTTAAGTAGAAGGTTGCAATTAAATCCTACACTTGATACCTGTGAGAGCTGTATGTGGCTTGGGAACTACCAGGTGGTAACTCCTGAGCTAGATGATTGACTAGACTTAGCCAAGCTACAGTTACTTTTTAAGTTAATTTCATGTTTTTCCTTTCTTGGTAACAGGGACTGAGGAGGCAAGTTGCAGATTGCATGGCCAAGTGAGTGGTCTATATACTCAGCTAACATTGCATTCATTCTTGTGACATTCTATTCAAAGGCCTACTACTTTAACATTTTACCTGTTTATGGCCCAGCAAATACAAGAGCATACACCCACTTGCATCTCAAATGGCAAATAATGTGTTAAACGCTTTCTGTTTTAATTTTACTGTCCATTAATACCCTTAGCTCAAAGTTAGACTGAAATATAAGTTAAGGTTGATGTCATTAATTATAATTGCAGCTTGGTGTAATTCTAGGCCTTGGTGATCTGCATAATATCGACCTCGAAAGCAGCACCTAGAATCAATGTGTTTACATGAGCCCTGACTCAAAGTATTAGCAGTTTTCATTATTAAGAGAGGCAGAAGTGTGTGTGGATGTGGTAGGAGCAGTTTTTGATTGCTGCTTATTTTTTTAAATGGGACTTCCTGGTTTTGAGTAGCTTGACAACGAGATTGGTGGCCAGATAAGGGGGTAAACCATGCAGAAATGTTGGATCTTTTTCAATGCAGCCCACCCCAGGTTGACTAATGTTGCTAGGGCAGCCCACTCAAAGTGGACCAAAGTATCCATGTTGCCCTAGCCTCAAAAAGTTTGGGGACTACTGCTCAAGACAATTGCACTTGCCCATAGAAGGGGAAGGGTAGTGGGGAATTGAGTAGTACAAGGACACCAAAGGGTTAATGCTCCACATCCTGAGATGGGAGTGCCAAGAGCTCAGGGGTCTCCCTTCTCGAGCCTGCTGGAGCCTGTACTTGGAAAAAATTGCTGGACTTTATTGAGTTCAAACTTGGATCCCCTGCAATGGGTACCAAGATTGTTTCCAACTGAGCTACTTATCTGTCTCTGATACCTCTTTAGTGAATAGAGGGACCTGGGATCTTGGAATTTTGATTGAGGAAATGTGTAGGGGATGAGCAGCTGACGTGACAATAGTGTCAGTAGGGATAGTCTGCAACAAGCTTCAAGTGTTCCGGAGCAGGTTGAACCAATTTGCATATTAGACATCATTAACTTGCAAAATTGCCCCTTGACATCCTTACCCAAACTATGAACTTTAAAGAAGACCCATGGCCATCAGTGCTCATGACATGTTATAGTAGGTTTTCAAGAAATTGTCAAAAAGATGATATTCATAAAGTTGATCTTTCCACAGAGTCAATGGGCTGCTTGCTGTTGTGATCTCAGATCGAGATGGAGTACCACTTTTGAAAGGTATGAGATATTTTGATACTTTTGAAGCATTTTCTCTACTCAGTACTGCAGCTCAGGGAAAGTACCATACTTACTATTATCATTGAGATGGCACTGATCCTGATAGGAATCTTTTTTCTTCAATCATAAATGGAGGAAGAGAAGTGAAATTTCTAACTACTTTATGACTTTCCAGTTACTACAGAAGCATGTCCTGAGCTTGCACTGAGACCCTCCTTCCTTAGTGCTTTCCCCATTGCCTCAGAACAGTACAACAAGATTGGCCATGGGAAGAATGAGTTCATTATCTCTATGTATGGTAATTACCAGGTTAGTAGGCTTCACAGTTTAAGGTAAGGTTGATTTTGAAGGTTGACATTCAAATGTTGGAACATTGTGCACTTCTCTGTTTCAGGTTATGAGCCGCTGGTGCCTGAATGCTGTTATGACCTTGATTGCAACCTCAGATTGTGTCACAGGCATTATCCAAGCTACAAGCAATCAGCTGTCCCCTTTGGCAGAAGCATTATCACGCTCTATACTCTCTGAGTCATGAATATCTGTGAATTGATATCCAAATGTATTGTCATTGAGACTCTCATTTCCAGGAATTTTTGAGTTCTAAGGATACTGTCCTCCCATTTTATTGTATGTCACATGTTTCCAATCAAATGTTTGCTATCTTGAATGCTTCCAACCATGTGTTACATTTCAGTGGTACCAGCTCCCATTAAATAAATGCCACTTTGCAAAACTCTTTACTTTCACTTTTTTTTTTCTCAATGTGTCACATTTGATGCAAATAATGCAGTTTGATATGAAATTTTTTCAACTTCTATTTCTAACTTGTGATCACCACTTTTGCATGGGCTTCAGACTTCTGTCTGGACTGAGGTCCTTGCCTCAAAACCCCAAGGACACCTATGTGAATTGTGCTGATGTGATTTTTCATGTGTTGAAACAGGCTTTCCAAATATTGGTAGCTGGAGATATACTTCATTTTCAAATCATGTTTATTTCTCATAGGTCTCTAGGTACCCAAATTGGATGAAGCTCTTACCTTTAAGGTGGAGACGTGGGTTTTCCACATATGTGGAACGGATGAGGCACATGGAGAAGCTGAAAGAGAGCAACAATGGGTGTTGGGAAGTCCTTCGGGACTCCAAGACTCGATTCTTGATGTTTAAGGGTCAAAAACCCCTAACATGTATCCATCCCTCCCTTACCAGCAATGATGGTCGTGTTACTGCAATGCATCGAGGGGGTGCTACCATTTCCTGGCTCACCTATCAAGGTGTGAGATCATGTGACTATTGTAATAGGCCTTTTCTCACTAATTTTGAAGGGTTGTAAATAGGCTTAAGTAAAGGAAATGCATGTTTTTTGAATGCATATGCTTACTTATAGGAAAAGAAAAAGCTCAAGAACTTCATTGGCCACCATTGAAATTTTAATGTGTTGAAGAAATCATCCTAGCACTACCAAGCGTTGAACATGGTAGAGGATGAACCACCCATGCATGGTGGCCACAGAGTCCCTGTGTTTGAAATATTAATATTCTCCTTTTACTGTATTTCCTGGGTATGTTTCAATATGGCTGACATTAACCCATACACTGACCATTTTTTCACCCTAACAGTTGCTGTGAATGACCATTTGTGAAAATTGTCATTAATGTCCACTCATGGAATTCCTTTTGTGTGAATGCACTTAGTTCTACTCATAGATGCATGTAAATTTGTCTGGCAGATGGGCTGGTCAGGCAAGGCCACATATATTGAGTCCGTCTCTCAGACAGGTGAGTCAGTGGATGGGTTAATGAATCTATGATAGAGGAAAGACTAGTAGCAAGTGTGTGGGTCCATGGTCATGTAGGAGACAGGGAAAATTATGAGGAAGTAAGAACCAGGTTTTTCATCCACAGTGACTTTGTGGCCACCCTGTATAAATCACAACATCATTTAGCATGGATTCCACTGTTACTTGTTTATGCACTTGCTTCAGTAGATCGTATGGTTGTATGTGGTTGTAATGTACACCACTAACCAAATTGGCATGCCTTCATATAGGTGTGTGATGTCCTGACAGATGGCATGCCTTGCATTCCTCACCACTTGGTGCGATTCTTGGAAGGTGTGAGGTAGTTGGACATCATGCCCCAAGGAAGAGCACCCTGTCATGTTTCAGATATGCCTGGTGAGGAACCATCAGGGGAACATGCTGTGTTGGAATAATTTCTGCCCAATCTCTCAGCAGAAACTATAAGGTGATGGAGACAGGGTGTGGGTCTATTTTGTCTTGCTGGAACATGTCATCTCCCAATGTGTTTGAAAAAGAACAGTTACTGGCTGCAGGATATAATCAATAGGGCTTTCACATTGCTCTGCACAATGATAAGGGTTGATTAGAGTGGCCTACCTTAGGGCCCGCCACCCGAAGACCATGGTGCCAGGTGTTGGACCACTGTACTGCTGTTGCAAGCAAATTAAGCCATCACTTTAACACTAGAAGTACCAAGGAAATAATTTTGACAGCTTACTGATTTTAATGCACTCTACTCTGCTCATTTGGCAGCTAAGGGCCTCAGAAGTTTTTACTTTTCCTATCTAATATAGACATTTTGAACTTGCCAAGTAACATCTGAAATAAGCAAATAAAATGTTACCAAATAATATTTTCATACTATTTTTAATGCTGCGGTCAAATTGACTGCTCTGGTCCTTCTAGTGTTAATGCAGACAGATATAGGATTCAGAAAGTATCCCCATGAGCACAGTTCCTGTTGCTATTGTTGTCCACTGTTGCTTGGCAGTGTGCAGAGATTGGGTATGGTGTTTGATGGCCATTGGAAGCATATGTACCAGTTATTAATCAAATTTTAATAAAATGTCCTTTGCATGGTATATGGGCCATGGCAGCCCATCAATGTAATACAAGGTGTAGCACAGTCACAATCTGACCCTTTCACACCAGCATCGATGGTGATTGTCACCTTTGGATGTGATAAAATGTGCTCCAGACTCTGCATGTTGGTTGATGTTTCCCTTCTGTACTTACTGGTTCCAATGTTACAGCATCACAGCCTTGTGTGGAATGCCACCATTTCTCTATCATGAAGTCTAATTATCCAGCCTCTCAGACTCCTTCAGTTGTCTGTGTACTATCTGGAATATGATCTGCTGGTCACTTCAAGTAATTATATGCAGATTGTATGGATATTTCATTGGGAGTGCTTTATCATGTACCACTTTGCAACATTTGGTAGTACTAGCTTGATTCCCTCATAGTCTTTTGATTTCAGTGGCAACCTGTGTGTGTGATAATGACATCAATATGAATGGCCCTCCATGCCTCCTGAATTTTTAATAGGGTTTTATTTTACTGTTTTCTTGCTGCAAAATGAAAAATTCTATTTGCAGGTTTTTGAAGCTATTCTGTAGGACCTTCATTGCATCCAAAAACGTTTTTCTGCAGATCTGATGGATGCCTCCGAGTCGGCTGAAGCCTCACTAAAGGATTCAGTTTTACTGACAGTGACAAATGATCTTAGTCCTCGATTTGGCATCCCATTGCCTACCATAAATGAGACGTGGGCAGATAGGATGGCTCATGAGAGAAATGCCTTGCTTGTTGACCAACGTATATCTCTCTTCCTTTGCAATGCTGAGGAAGCCCAGATGGTTGCACAGGTGAGTCCTGAGTCATATCCATGGAGAATAATTTATTGATTGTTTTTGGTGTCATACTTGAACCCCATGGTTTATTTATATTTCTGATTTCCAAGAATGGAAGAGATATGAAAATTTATCATGACAGGCATGACATTTGTCTCTCATTTAATCTTTATCTCATTATGTTTTTGCATCTAATCTTGAGAAGTTCATCAGAAATGATCTGTGCATAGACCAATTAGAGCTTTCCTATTATTGTGTCTTGTTGTCAATAATCTCATAAAGGGGGCATTATGTATATTTCCTATACTTACAGGCAGCTTCACTTTTCCATTGGCACAAAGTCAACCGGTTCTGCACCCACTGTGGCAATGCTGTGGAGCGTAATGCAGCCGGCAATGTGAAGACATGTCCAAGTTGTCAACATGTCCATTACCCCTCCACCCATGCATGTGGAATCGTTCTTATCACTGATGTCAATTATGAAAAGGCACTTCTTGTTCGACAGCCACAACATCCTCCTGGGCTATATACATGCGTCGCTGGCTTTGCAGAAGTCGGTGGGGATCTTCTCTCTCTCCCCCCCCTCTCTCATTCTCTCTCTCTCTCCCCCTCTTTCTCTCCTTCTCTCCTTCTCTCCTTCTCTCCTTCTCTCCTTCTCTCCTTCTCTCCTTCTCTCCTTCTCTCCTTCTCTCCTTCTCTCCTTCTCTCCTTCTCTCCTTCTCTCCTTCTCTCCTCTCCTTCTCTCCTTCTCTCCTCTCCTTCTCTCCTTCTCTCTCTCCCTTCCCCCCTCACTCCTGACCCTCCCTTTCTTTCTCTCTCTCTGGACCTAGTTGGACTCTCCTCAAATAAAGGATTATCTTCCCTCTTAATAGTGAAAGCCTTAGAAGTCTGAAAGCAAAATTGTTGAGGTGAACTAATCACTTGAATTGAAATCTCAGTCAATTGTAAATGAGGTAAACTCTTCTGATGGTCATTAAAACCAGAATTTCTCATTTTTGTGAGGGATCTGTAAGGTTGTGAAGGAGAAATCCTTCAAAAACCTTTTTTGGAATAATAACACCCAAGGTTTTGGCTATTAAGAGGTAATTATTCTTTTCTCCTACAATTTTTCAAATTTATAGTAATTGGGAAAGTTCAAGTTTCTCTCTCTTATTATGAACAGTGTCAACATAAGCAGAGTCAGACTAACCTACAGGGACACTGGGAAATTTCCCAGGGGCCCCCAGACCAAAGGACCCCTGCACCAGGTGCAAGGCCCCTTGGTCTGCATCATGGGGGGGGGGTGTGTGGAACCCCTAGGATGTCAGCCTGACCCTGAACCATAAGAGATATTTGAATATGCTGATAATGGATAATGGACATCATTGATTCATATTGTTACAAGCACTTTCTATCATCCAGCCTTTAGGATTAAGACATTATTTAATGGGACCCAATGTTTTAATGATGGACTAAATGTTGTCTGCTTTCAAAATTTGACTTCATCTAAATCATGTACTGAATTTAAAAAAATTCCTTGTTTGGTGGGGGGTTGAAAAGTTTATGGCCTTTCATGAGTATCACATGTACAGCTGAATATAGGAGTTTTACTCTGCTAGCACCTTTTCAACGTAATCAACCCCAACTAATATTGTTTTAATCTCTCCTCTAGTTTCTTAATTCCAGCAGGAAACCAATCTTTAGTAGGAACTTTTAACTACTTGCTCATGGCTGATGCCTATTCCCTGGCAATACATTTTTTTCAGTTCTGGGAAATGTCAATATTTGAACTCTTAAATGGATGGAATGGAACTCCCAGCCAAGGTCAAGGGTCGTCCAGATGGAGACATGGGTGGTATGAGGTGAGGTTGTCTTGCTGTCATACGGCATCTTTGGAAATGAGGCCAACCTGCTTCTCAATATAGCTTATTTGATCTTACCCTTAGTTACTATTATATTGCCTCATAGCTAAGAAGATCAAATTAGCCACATTGAAAAGCATACCCATAAACTGCCCTTGTTTCCAAATGAGCAATCCTTGGCTTTGGTTGGGAATTCTACTTCACCCACATAATAGTTCCAGCACTATCTCAGAAATAAAAATTTTATTGCAAGGAAAGAGAGGCTGGGTTAGAGGTTGCTCTTGCATCTGCTGTAAGCCAGTGGGTAGAAGTTGCTATTGAAGTTTGGTTTCCTTCTGGAATTAAGTAACTGGTGTAGAGATGGAAGAAGTGTACATTGGTTATGGGTGATTATGTTGAAAAGGTGCTAGCAGAGTAAAAGTTCTGTTAAGTTCAGTTATATTTCTAGTTTAGTTTCTCTTATAGTTTCTCTTAAGTTCAGTTGTATGTATGATATTTCTGTAAGTCCAGGAACTTTTTAGCTCCCCCCTCATACATTGGTAGAGTGCAGGCTTTTAACAAGGCCTTGAAATGTATCGGAGTTGACCTTGTCTTACAGTGTAATGACCCAAGGAGGTTTATGCATTCTATTGACCTATTTTCTTTGGAAGAATTGCTTGACTGGTTTCATTGTCATTTTCATAATTGTTAGACCTATATGAATAATAAGTCAGGGTTAATTTTCCTCTCAGCTATACTTAGAAGTCACACAGTAATGCCAACAATTTTAATTTTGCAATGTTTACATTTGATCAAAATCTTCCTGGTCACTCCTTTGGGCATATTCTAAAGTAAGATGAGATGCCAAGCCATTTGTGCTAAAGTGGATGGTTTACACATCATGACATCTTCATTATCAATTATGATTTTTGTAACTTAGCTTTAGAAAATAAATTGTTGATAATAGATAAGACATTCAGCTGTAATGAATGGAAGTACTGGCATGATCAATGTTTGGTCATAAATTGTCAAAATTAAAAGTTTTTGGATTATATTTTGTTCTGAAAGTGAATGCCCTTAAATCTTATGATTAGGTGAAACAATTGAGGAGACAATTCGCCGTGAAGTGGCAGAAGAGGTGGGACTAGAGGTGACAGGGATAGAATACATGTCATCACAGCATTGGCCCTTCCCCTCCTCCAGCCTCATGGTTGGATGCTTTGCTACTGTCAAAAATGCAGACCAGGTTAGTATCTCTTGAGTATGCTCCTAAGGGGGATGAGTTTTTGATCAGTCATCTAAAAGCCTCTCAATTGGTTAGCTAACTGACCAGGATGGTCATTCACAATCAATTATGGTAATTTCTTTATTTCTGTTGTTACTCCATCTCTGTTTCATACTCTTTTGTTTGCATGTAATCATAATTGGCCCTTGGGGCATAACGATATTGCGAAGCTTAGCAATATACCATATTTACTTCATAGGGCTTTAACTCCTCTCATTTACCATGCTCAAAAGTTGCAAAAAATGCTGCACTACATAAATAATCACTACAGCCATAACTCAAAGATGCATTTGCTACAGTGTTATCAGACGTCATCTGCTAGTATCGCAGGACCCATAGCACAGGGCTGCTGCATACTTTGCATGAGAATAACTTAACCAAGACATATGTCTATGGATGTTGTGCTGAAGGATAAATGAATCACCACAATGTGGTCAATAATGGTCAGGTACATATTGGTTAACTACTCCATCCCTACTCCAGAAATCTATTGAAAGCTCCATGGTGGCACTTTTTAGTAGTAACTTGTGACATAATTGAGGTACTGTATGTACATTCATAAGTCCTGAATTTTTGCTCATGCAATATTTCAATCATTTAGAAGCTATACATTGATAGATTTGATGCATTGTTTTCTTAGCGGTGAAATAGTTTTTGTTAGCACTTAGGCTGTCTAGCCCCTGTAATCTAATATTGGCATTGCCAGGCCACTTTTCACAAATGGTTATAGACAAATATAAGCCAGTCCTATTGCAAGCATATCACCCTTCACTTTTATTGTATGTTCTCCAAAAGAAATGCTGTTAGACCTTTAACCCTCTGCGTTCCTACAGTATGTCGAGTATACCCTGACAATTCAGTGAGAGGATTGAATATATTCGTCCACAAGGGGTTAAGTCTGATGTCGTCTCTTGTAGATGTTCATTGCCCTTGAACCATTTTATATTCATTAAACTGATGAGCATTTTAACTTGAATTAGATCCCCAGTATACTGTATCAATGGGCGCGGTAACGCCCATTACCTTTCTTCAACCCCGTCCGGCGAAAAAATTCAGCCATCTCGTATTCCTCTCTGAGAGCATCAACAGGAACGAAACTTGGCATGCTTCTTCCTCTCTCATCACAGAATCGCTCCAGCAAATTAGAAGCTACATCTCCCCGGGGTTGTGGAGAACGCTGAATTTCGTTTTTGGCGGATGTGAAAGTCGTTCCGGGATTTTTTTTTTCTCCTCCCCTGGGTAGCCGTTCCTGGGAAGTTTTTCAAGGAAAGAGACCAACCAAACGAAAGACATTGACCTGGAAGTGACAAAAAGTCTCATTTTTTGGGGTTTCAGTGCACCATTTTGCCATGAAAAATGAAATTAGATGCCCTTAATTTAGCTTAGCGCGATGGGTCCAGTCCCGTCCTCCAGTGTTTCCGGATATCGCGCCTTAGTTATCCGAGGTTCATGACTTCATCAGCCTTAGTATCGTTGTCTGGATCTTCTCTTTTTAATGTAGGAGACATTAATGTGCTGAATTCATGGGATGAGCTGAGATTGAAGCGGTATTTTGCAGTGCCCGATCGATTTGGTGGAATACGGAGAGGTCTCGCCTCCAAACACGGGCAACCGTGGTCTGTCTGCAGGCGGCAGACTGACTACGTCCCTGTAAGGTGTGGCAATGATGGAAAGTAAATTTAATGGTTAGGCAAGGGGTTAAGTTGATCAGAATGAAAGGGAGATCTCAGAGGGTGCCATTTTCAAAGCAGAATGTTATGCACTGAGCCGTTGTGTCGTACACATATTAAAATAGAAAGGGAGCTGTCTATCCATGACTAAGAAAAGGTGCTCTGAGCGCCTTCCCTGTCTCTCCCAGGGGACAAGTCGAGACAATTAAGTCTGAAGTACATGGTGTTGTTCCTTTGTGTTTGATCAGATGGTTGGCATGATAGGTCATACTGGGGCTCTGGGGCTGAGTCTATCGCAGTAGTGCCCAACCTTTTCGGCTCGGGGGCCACATAGCCCACTCCCACAGTCATCGCGGGCCACATGCAGTCGCTAATACTGTAGGAGAATATTTTATGGAAACTCGTGGGTATTTATTGCAGCTCAAGCCTATCTGTTTTAATGTGACTTCTGCACTTGCATGTCCGACGCCAATTTGTCGATGTCTGGTTGCAGGTTAGTTGTGGCCAGTCGCATCAGGCCAGCTAGGTTCATGTCCGTAAGGCGCGAACG